CCACCACCCCCACTCCAGGACCGGAGACAGGAGGCAGAAGCCTCCGGTCGCCCACTCCCTTCCCCTCCCCCACCACCCACTCCCAACAGGCACTGAGGGGAATGTAGGGTTGCCAGCTCTAAGGAGGGAAATACCTGGAGGTTTGGGGGGTGGATTCTGTAGAGGGCAGCATTGGGCGGGGGGGGGGCGGAAGGACTCAGCAGGTATAATGTCATAGGGTCTACCCTCCAAAGCATCCATTTTCTCCAGGGGAACTGATCTCTGTCATCTGGAGATCAATTGTAGCAGTGGGAGATCTCCAGGTCCCACCTGGAGATTGGCAACCCTAGGGGGAAGTCAGCTGCACAGCAGGGGGTTGAAGAGAATGGTTTGATGGCTGCTGGGCCAAGATTGGCAACAATAGTTCCCCAGGAGCCCCATCGTAAATGCACCAAACAATTCCTCAAGATTTTCCAAAACACTACTCTGTTGATAAATTGCAACACTTTGAATTAGCACCAAAGCTTTAAGATCTCTCCAGCTGTCACCTGGAGACTGGCAACAGCTTGTCTGGAGTGTGGGCAGTATGGCATTGTATCTGTCTGAGGTCCCCCTCTTCCTCCTCCTCCTCAGACCCCACCCTCAGCAGGCTTCATCCCTAAAATATCCTGGAAGTTTCCAATCTGGAGTTGGCAACCCTATGTCCTTTCCTGGCAACCATCAGCCAAACTGCCTGTCTGTCTTAAGTTTTACCACCACCACCACCCCACAGCCTCTGCCTAGGGAGCAGCTGACATCATTCTCCTCTCCCCTATTATGCAACTGAAAATTCCAACTGCCTTGCGGGGGGGGGGTGAGTTTGAGGTGTGGAATGGAATGAGGTCCAATCAGCTTCCATATGCAAATGACCTTGGAATGCTGGGCGGGACTGCACAAAGCAGCCAGTCAACCCAGCCAGTGTCTGAGTGGCAGTTTTTCCGGCCTTACACTAAAGGCGGGCATTTTAGAATTTAGAACTTTGGCACCCACTACTCAATTATATATAAGGAGAGATACTTCATTATGCCAAGATGGGCATGTGGACGATGTACATGAGTGGCATTCATTGAGAGCTGCAATGCACATCCAAATACTCACAAACACCAGCATATTGAACACAAACATCAAGTATTTCATAAGGTCTAGAACTCCCATCATGAATCCAGCTTTAGTCTGGGTGACAGAAGCAAACAACGGGTCCTGAAAAGAAAGGAGAGAGAGATCAGTGTAATGTCCTTTCTTTGCTGTGCCTCGCTTGACCTTCCATACTGGCCTTCTTGCACCTGCAGGGACTGAAAAAAGGCCCTGGCATTGCTACTGAGAAGAACAAATTTAGTAGGTCTTAACTTACAGAAGCCATGAAGCCTGTGCTTTGGACCAAGTTTTCAGTGTCAGTCAGACTTAAACTGAAGAAAATTGGGAAAACTACTTGGCCATTCAGGTTTGACCTAGATCGCATCCCTGATTAATATACAGTAGAGGTGAAGAATAGATTCAAGGGTCTAGATTTGATAGATAGAGTGCCTGAAGAACTATAGACGGAGGTTCGTGACATTGTACAGGAGGCAGCAATCACCACCATCCCAAAGAAAAAGAAATGCAAGAAAGCAAAGTGGCTGTCTGATGAGGCTTTACAAATAGCAGAGGAAAGAAGGAAAGTGAAAGGCAAAGGTGAAAAGGAAAGATTTACCCAACTGAATGCAGATTTCCAGAGAACAGCAAGGAGAGATAAGGAGGCCTTCCTGAATTAACAATGCAAAGTAATAGAGGAAATCAATAGAATGGGAAGGACTAGCGATCTCTTCAATAAAATTGGAGAAATCAAGGGAGCGTTCCATGCAAAGCTGGCCATGATAAAGGATAAAAACGGTAGGGACCTAACAGAAGCAGAAGAGATTAGGAAAAGATGGCAAGAATACACAGAAGAACTATACAAGAAAGACCTCGATGTCCTTGACAACCACTATGGTATAATCACTGACCTCGAGCCAGACATCCTGCAATGTGAAGTTAAATGGGCCTTAGAAAGCATTACTAACAACAAAGCTAGCGGAGGTGATGGTATCTCAGCTGAGCTATTCAAAGTCTTAAAAGATGATGCTGTAAAAGTGCTGCACTCAATTTGCCAGCAAATTTGGAAAACGCAACAATGGCCACAGGATTGGAAAAGGTCAGTATACATTCCAATCCCAAAGAAGGGCAATGCCAAGGAATGTTCAAACTATCGCACAATTGCACTCATATCACACGCTAGCAAGGTCATGCTCAAGATCCTACAAGCTAGGCTTCAACAGTACGTGGATAGAGAACTGCCAGAAGTACAAGCTGGGTTTCGAAGAGGTAGAGGAACTAGAGATCAAATTGCCAACATTCGCTGGATTATGGAGAAAGCAAGAGAGTACCAGAAAAACATCTACTTCTGCTTCATTGACTATGCTAAAGCCTTTGACTGTGTGGATCACAACAAACTATGGCAGGTCCTTAAAGAGATGGGAGTACCAGACCACCTCACATGTCTCTTGAGAAACCTGTATAAGGGCCAAGAAGCGACAGTTAGAACCGGATATGGAACAACTGATTGGTTCAGCATAGGAAAAGGAGTACGACAAGGATGTATACTGTCACCTTGCTTATTTAATATATATGCAGAGTACATCATGCGAAATGCTGGCCTGGATGAATCACAAGCGGGAATTAAGATTGCTGGGGAAAAGATCAACAACCTCAGATATGCAGACGATACCACTCTAATGGCAGAAAGTGAAGAGGACCTAAAGAGCCTCTTGCTCAGGGTAAAAGAGGAGAGCGCAAAAGTGGGCTTGAAGCTCAACATCAAAAAAACTAAGATCATGGCATCCGGCCCCATCACTCCTTGGCAAATAGAAGGGGAAGTCGTGGAAGTAGTGACAGACTTCACGTTCCTGGGATCCCAGATCACCGCAGACTGTGACTGCAGCCATGAAATTAAAAGACGCCTGCTCCTTGGGAGGAAAGCGATGGCGAACCTAAACAGCATGATAAAAAGTAGAGACATCACCCTGCCAACAAAAGTCCGCATGGTCAAAGCAATGGTATTCCCAGTAGTCATGTATGGCTGCGAGAGTTGGACTATAAGGAAGGCCGAGCGCCGAAGAATAGATTCTTTTGAACTATGGTGCTGGAGAAGACTCTTGAGAGTCCCTTGGACTGCAAGAAGAACAAATCAGTCAATCCTCAAAGAAATCAACCCTGACTGTTCCCTGGAAGGCCAGATAATGAAACTGAAGCTCAAATACTTTGGCCACCAAATGAGAAGGGAGCACTCACTGGAGAAGACCCTGATGCTGGGAAAGATTGAAGGTCAAAGAAGATGGGGACGGCAAAGGATGAGATGGTTAGACAGTGTCATAGATCCAATGAACATGAAGTTGAGCAAACTTCAGAGGATGGCGGAAGACCGGAAGGCCTGGCGTGATCTGGTCCATGGGGTTGCGAAGAGTCAGACTCAACTGTGCGACTGAACAACAACAAAAACATACAAATACTGTTTTGCTTGGAACTTGAGGCTTTTTGTCCCATAGTTGTCATGGCCTTTATTGAAACCCCACACAGCACAACCTCTGTGTACAAAGCCATGCCTCTAGAGCAGGGGCAGCCTTAGCCAATGGGCAACAGGGGCAGCTTCCCTGGGCCTCATGCTGGGCTCCCTTACTGCCCCCCCCATGGAGGGAGTAAAAGAAGATAAAAAGCAGGGTCCCGTGGCTGCCGCTCACACCCATACTGTCCGGTGCTCAGGCCACCTGCTCACAACAACAGTTGTTTGTGCCCACCCCATTCAGGGCTCAGCAGCAGCTGCTTGTGCCTGCTCTGTCTGAGGTTTGGGCAGCCAGCTTCCATCAACAGCTCCCATCTGCTTTGCACAAGGTGATGGCTGCCCTTTGCTTGGCCCCAGCAGGGGGCCAGCCGGGTGGGGTTTCCAACAAGGGATGGTGGCAGTGATTCTAGGTCCCCATCCTGGACTTTGGCCCAGGGCCCCAGAATCACTAAGACCGCCCCAGTTTGGGACCTTGTCAAGTCAACAGGGTGTGCTGCCCTTCCGTGTGGTATTGGTAGTTTCACAAGAAATCTGTTTTGCACATTTTTATTATTATTAATTTCTGATTCAGAAAAGAGATTTCACTTATAGATAAGCCATAATTCTTCAAGTTAGGGTATTATAGAAGGCTCACTTTACTGTGTTGGTAGATAACAAAATTACAGATTAACACAGCAGTCCTAGGATCCTGCTATGCTGGTCTGAGAGGTTTAACATGAGAAGTTCTATGGTTGCCAAGCCTGGACTGAGAAATTCCTGGGTATTTGGGACAGAGCCTGAGGATGGTGGAGTTTGGAGAGGGCAGGGAGCTCAGTAGGGACTGAATGCCATAGAGCAGGGGTGTCGAACTCATTTGTTATAAGGGTCAGATCTGACATAAATGAGACTTTGTTGGGTTGGGCCGGGCCATGTGTGTCATTAAAATGTACTGCCAGGTAGCGGAGATATAAACTTTATAAAGGACACAAACACAAAGATTTTTTTACTTAAAATAAAAGCATGCTTAAAACATTAGCTCTGTAAGCTGCAAACCCACTTTTGATTTATTGACACTCACCACAGAAATCTCATGCTCAGAGTTCTGAGTCTAGGACCCAGGTTAAAACATGAAATGGTTGAGTGATTAAGAGAGTCTGGCAAAGGAAGCTATGATGCTGCTGCACCAGCAGCAGCAGCAGAACTGGAAGCAGGAGATGGCCATTTCCACTGCGGGCCTGATGGAAGCCCTCTGGGGGGGCCTGATCCGGCCCCCGGGCCACATGTTTAACACCCCTGCCATAGACTCAACTCTCCAAAGCAGCCATTTTCTCCAGGGGAAGTGATCTCTGAAGTCTGGAAATCAGGTGTAATTACAGGAGATCCCCAGGCCCCACAATGAGGTTGCTAGCCCTAAGCAGTGCTGAGTCAAAATACTCACACTGAACTCAATGGCAGAGGAAAAATAACTGTCCCCATGGCCTCCTGTCCCACCAATATCAACTGAGTACAGGATTTTTTTCTGCAGCCAATCACAGCTCATCAGTATATAAACCCCACATAGGTCATCATAGGCCATCCATCTCGGAGCCAATAGAGAGTGAGAACTTGGGCTAACATCTGCCCAGACCCATGTCATGCAAAGGTAGGGCCAAACTACACATTCTGTTTTTCCCATGCACATGCAACTCCAAAATGAGGCAAATAACCTCCCCAAAGGGTCATTGTGGCAGAAGCCCTTACACCACCCCACCCCACCCCATGCTGCAGTCATGAGCCAAATTTAGTCTCTCTGGTGCTGTATAAGGGGAATCTGGGCCGATTAAAAAAAAAAAATAACATGTCATTTGACCCTTAATACGTAAGTGGGGGGTTTTGTTGATGGGAATTCTGTAGAAAGGGCCTTTTGCACAAAAAAAGGAGCACTTTGCAGAAACAGCCCAGGCGAATGATAAAATAAAAAAGAGCATATTGCTAACACTTATCCTTTCAGAACCTTTACAGGTATTCTATATTAAAACACACACTCTCATCAAAAGCCCCCACTCCACAGAGGGCTGCTGGCTTAGGAGGACCATAAGATGCCTCTCACAAATCATGCTGAAGGTCCAGAGGTTCACTAGATTTCAGGGTATAGTAAAAATGCAGGTCCTACTAGAAACCTGTTCGTATAACTTTAAGAATTTACTGAGTGTAATCTAAGATTATTTCGTTTCAGATCAACAATAATAATATCCAACACTTGTTTTTTGTATATTGTATGAGACAACAATGCAGACATCATTCATTTTTAATATCATTCATGTTGCTCAAACTGATTGGAAACAGATTATACTATTCATCTTTTATTGACAAGCCTACAGATAGAGCTTTAGAGAGAAGGAATACAATTCCTTGCTTTTCTGCCATTTTTTATATGGGTGGTAAAGCTCAGTTTGGAGTTACCGGCAGGCATCTCAGATAGCAAAGTATTTTCTTTCTTACCCTTTCACATCAAGGTGAAAGGAGGCAAGCAGTTGGCAAACTTTGTATAATCTTGAAACAGGAGCTTTACATGCCACCTGTTTTACAATCTGCTGGCAACTGTCACTCACGGGTCCCAAGA